AATGAAAGCCTCTGAATGTCGACTAATTTCTCAATTCATCAACGAATGTACCAAACTGGTTATCTGGAGAATGCGAGCAACATTACAGCTGTAGTAATTCCTCAGAATATTTAAAGAAAAGCAAAAGAAGAACTTCATTAAGAAAGGTGCTGAGATGATTCCAGAAATTCTGACCAGCTATATATCTACACGAAGCAGGAAACTGACGAATAACAAGGCATAATTACAGATGTTTGTACGTCTATTATCGTTTGTATCATTGGAGATGAAGCAGAAACATTGAGCAGCTAAAAACGCTAACAACAGGTTTATACAAACACGTTTAGATAATATCTCATTTTGCACGTGTCGACTCTAGAATTATAAACATCGTCAATCATTGTTAGTATATTTACAGACATTGCATTTTCCATTCACTCAGCGGTAAGGCCGGCCTCGTCGGTTGAATCAAACGGGTTGAAAACTGTAGCCCAGGTAGTAACATGAATGGGTAGCAAGACTATTTTGCAGTTTAATTCTCTCTTTTTTTTTTAGTGCTTTTGATTCAACAGACCAGTGGTTATTTTTTATGAGCGTGTTAGAACGTTCGCTTTTAGAGCTGGATTCGAATCTCATCATGTCCGATTAGTCATGAAGGTCACATCTTGATGTTATCAGCCCGAGGGAGGCGATGCTATCGTGCGGCACCTTTGCAAAGTATTTGAAAACCATACCACTGGTTGACTGAAGCCGTGTGAGTGAAATTGGGTAGATCGATCTATTTGAGAGCTGTCGGTGGTTGTGCTAGCATGAAGTCACAAGTCATCGTGACCGAAGCTTTGAGCTTACTGGGATTGTTCAGACTCTTGATCACGCCAGATAATGCGCTCTCTCTCAGACAATGTAACTAAGGTTAGCTCAGCATGTATAGCTGGCCACTCGTATTCGCGGATAACCGTCTACTAGGGCGGCTAGCCAATCCCTATTACAGACGCTTGCTCAGGCTCATTTTGTGTTTGTTCAACAACCACAGAGCCCACCTGTCGTTTTATACTGCAACTATGCTGAGCAAACCTTAGTTACAGTTTCTGGGGAAGAGCGTGTTATCTAGCGTGATCATCATTCTGAACAATTCTAGTCAGCTCAAAGCCTCGGTCACGATGACTTGTGATTTCATGCTAGCACAACCACCGACGGCACTCAAATAGATCGCTCAAACCCTCGGCCACGATGACTTGTGACTTCGTCTATCCAGTTTCACTCACAAGGCTTAGATCAGCCCATGGTATGGTTTTTCAGACAACTTCCAAAGGTACCTGTTCTACTATTTAACCAGTAACTGGAGGGGGATTAATACAAAGGTATATGCGCGTAAGTGAATGTTAGGAACTAGAGTAGAAATCGAACTCGGATCACTCGATTTCTCATTCTGAGCATCTATCAAACCACGTGCACATTTCCGAACGTGATGGAACATTTAATATTAAAGACGAATTCTAATTTACGTATTTTTAATGGAATTATTCATATTTATAACATTTAACATCAAACAGCACAGAGACAGGTTTTTGCACAAATACCCCTGGGATGGTTGTAAATTCAACACTTCATACTCTCTCTACCTATATATTAAATAGCAGATTAAACTAGGCTCTGTTGCCTTGAGTGGCCACCAGTCTGAGGGAAGCTAAAATCAGCACCTGTTTCTCCAACTCTCTGCCTCATCTACGAGATTGTCCAGCATTCAATGCGATGTAGGAGGACTGATCTTACATAGTTCAATATTCTTTTCTTTGTTTCCAACGAAATTTTATTTCTTAATGTTAAATAATAGTCTAGCAGACTTATATTTCAGAGAGTTGTATTTTCCTCTGACTTCCTCATTTTGACCTTTGAGGTCAGATACAGAAAAACAAAGGAAGTCGTTTTTGATTGGCTAAAACTAGCGTGGGAATGTTGGACCGAGAAAGGGATTTCAAGGAGTTTTATACGTCGAAGAATGTAGACGTGTTATTTCGTGTCTGGTAAACTACACCCCAGCAGGGGTGAGAGAGTATCCCCACTGGCTAGTTAGAAAATCTACCCGTCGACGTGTTTAACAAAGTAGTAAGTTAAAATTCCCTTTATTGATGTCTCTGAACTCCAAAAAATTTCGCTAACCGGCCGGAAGATAACAGAGAGAAGATATACAACAGTGTATTAATTGAGACCGTTGCCCAAGAGAAACCTAGAAGAGGGAGAGTATACAACATTAATAATTAGTACAGGTTTTTTTAGTATGTTCTTTTTTTGTCCGTGCATTGAAGTGTGCTACTAGATTGGCATTTAGGTCCCACCCGTTTACTGTTGAAATAGTTAAATACAACCGCTACTTCTACTCCAATAATTTATTTTATCGCACTTCTCGCATGTGGAACACAATTCCGTTTATTTGCTTACCTAATAACTACTGTTTTCAACAAATTAAACGCAACGTCAAACACAATCTTTTTAAATCTCGTACAGCATTTGTGCATTTCTCAACCATCCCTATATTCATCGGTATCCTCGAGCGTACTTGTGGCATTTCCGCCTTGCTTAGTTTTATGGGTTCCACCCCTTTTTCATACAAGTGGACTCGAGCAGTGTGTACTTGGACTGCTGATGTTAAATACCCAGAATCAGTCATAGTAGAGGGAGATTGAGATTGTGATTGAGTTGGAGCTAGAGTAATAGTGTGAGGTAACCGCTTGTAGAAGTCACAGTTACAAGCACGTAGACTCTAAGGAAGTCCTACTTCGAGACTGGATTTACCAGACTGTGTATATATTATTATTGCTACTAACCGCGTTTCTTGATTTACAAACCGTATTACAAATTGTATTATTGTGTAAATACATTTATTTGTTATATTTCATTCCTGCATTTGTCATTCATTGGAGACCGGATTTCATCTCGGAATCCACAACATTTAGGGTAATATGATTAAAAAAATATCTGGTCTGGTGATCCTGCTGTATATTTCAAGATTCTTGACAAAATTCAAAGAAGAGTCTGTAATGTAATACGTCCTAATCTGGCATCTCGGCTTCAGTCACTTTCTCACCGACGTGAATTAGCTTCCCTATGTCTTTTTACGCATATTTTCATGGCAACTTTTGTTTTCTCGACTGCATGAATTTGAACGTTCTACTAGATTGTCATATAGGTCCCACCCGTTTTACTGTTAAACTATTCTAACAGTTTCTTTTTCTCGCACTTCTCAACCGTGGAAATCCCTTACGATATTTTGCTTCCCTGCCGCGTATGATCTTCAAAAATTGAAATGCAACGTCAGTGAACATTTTTCGTCTTCCTAAACCTGTTGTCCTTTCTTTAATTTTCTCACTGAAGTCTTTTCATTCTCTTCGCTCCCTGTAACCCCACTGCTCATTATCATTATCGCCTTGCACGGAGTAAACTGATAAAAAATGGCGCTGTAAATGAAATCAATTAGTGCCAACGCACGGAGAAATCCAATTTAATATAAGTACAACATAAAACTTAGTTTCAAGAGTACAGAACCCGGTATTCCCAAGCGGTCACTCCTCTAGATACTGACCATGCCTGACGTTGCTTATCTTCGATGATTGATGAAACGTTGGCAATGATCATCTATAATCGTATCATGTTTTTAATTGAATAAGGAATTATAGCCGACTTGGTCTCCGATTCGAGAGAAATATAACGAAATGTTATTTTGATTACCTGGTCAAATCTCCAGGCACAATTAATGTCTGATTCATGTTAATTCGATTTCAAATCTAATTTGAGATCTTTTCAGGATACCCATAAAAAGCATTACTCCAGAAAAATGATTCTGATTATAATTTTTAGAGATATACTTTTCATAATGCACCAGTTTATACCTGGAAAAGTTTTCGTAACGTCTGTGAATAGATTTGAAATTTAAAGCCTTTTTCTTTTTTTTTTTTTTTACTTGATTAGATTTTATCAACAATAATTTGGCTTGCTTTTCAAAGATTCCATTTTTCGCACCTATAACCGTTACGCTACCCGAACGTCCATACATCCGTTTTGAACACGAAAGGGGAAATTTATCATTTTGGGCTTTTTCAGTTACTCGAAAGAACCAACGAAGTGGATATAGAACACAGAAGAATTTGTTTTACACATTTTATACAACGATATATCTGTACATATGTGTGTGTGCGCGTGCGCATACGCGTTATTCGCGGTTATGAAATGAAATGTGCAAGAATTTATACTCCAACATACTTTTGTCCTTTCATGTTCCTTCAGGAGATAAGGCAATAATGTCTCTCCGCGACGTGAAGAAAACAATTCGACTTTCGTCATTACTGGAAAGAATATCCAGTTATTCCATTAATATAAAGTAGATTGATTAATTGCTTTTTACGGCATATGAACCTGTTGCATTGTTATGGTAATTTTTTCACGCACGCATGTACTCTCCCAACTATAAATAGGAGCAGGTACTGCCTTTTGGAGAGGGAAGTTTCTAGAATGCGTTGTTTTGGTGTTAGGAATATTGTTTGTATGTTTGGGTCAGTGTTTGTGGCTAGCTAATTTAAAATTTAAGACAGATGAAGAGCGTCCTTTTCCCCCCATTTCCCATTTTGGACTTGTGCCACATTTTGTACCATTGTACAAATAAATATCGGGAAGTTTCCAGCAGTCAGCTCTGACAGTCGGACTGAGCATTCTTGCTGTAACACTGTCGTTTGTATATGTTTGCATTAATGTTTCTGTTAATATATTTGTTTAAGTCAATTCCTCTCTTGTGTCTTTATTTCTGGCCCTAACGAGGCGACAATATGTATATTATTTAAAACCAGTTAATATGTTCAGATTGTATGAATCTTTTGGAGATAATAATGATTTTCTGATACAAATCCTACGAATTAACCAATAGCTGAAGGAGAACTGGTGGATTCATAATGAACGCAACTGGAATTGGAACACGGCTTTTCGATTAACAATTCCGAGCCGTTATCCACTACACCACACGCACATCCAAGCTTACGGCTCCTGATATTCTCAAGCGGTCACCCATCTAGGTACTGGCCAGGCTTGATGTTGTTTAACTTCGGTGATTATAACGGGAACTGCCGAATATAAAGTAGAAATAGCAGCGAAAATTTCATGGTGATGCTATTTTAATTTTCTGATAAATGTTAACGGCTTAAGTTTCAATTCCTGCGAGAGTCTGAATATATATTCACAGAGTAATAATAGATAGGAAGTTGTGGAGAGCCATGATCTCCTATTTTCTGAAGGAATTTGCATTTAGAAGAAGTAAATGGTGGATTTCATGATGATCATGTGAGAGAAATTCTCTTCAAGACACCAGTACATTCCTCAGTATTCTAACTGATTATAATAATGCTGACGTGTGAATGATTTCGATTCTGGATGAAAACTGAAGTTCTACAAGACTTTGTCAATCATTACTACAAATAATAATAATAATAATAATAATAATAATAATAATAATAATAATGTTGTACTTATGAGTACAACCCACAACTTGCGAAAGGCTTCATCTATTATTTATGTAAAATGTTCATGATCTTAGTTCATTTTCGTTTTCCTTTCCTCAAAAAATGCTTAGTGAAAATGTCATGATGCTATTTCTGAGCTTAGGTCTCTGTTTGGGACCCGGGAAGAAATATCTATAAACCAGAAATCAAAGGAAATAATAATAATAATAATAATAATAATAATAATAATAAACCAGATACAGAAACAATGGCAAGATAAACCACTTCATGGCCAATACTCTGCCCGTACGAAACAAGCCGACGTAGACAAAACCCGTACCCATCAGTGGCTACGTAGTGCAGGGTTGAAAGCTTAAACTGAAGGTTTTATCCTTGCTACACAGGACCAATGCTTGTTAACTAGAAATTACCAAGCACATATACTAAAATATTGTGTTAGCCCAAAATGCAGATTCTGTGATAAATATTCAGAAACGATTGATCATCTTGTATCAGGTTGCGCGATATTGGCACCCACTGAATATAAAACCCGGCATGAGAGAGTGGGCCAATATCTGCACTAGAAATTTGCAACTTCTACGGGAAGGAAACTGAAAGAAACTGGTATGGACACCAACCAGACCCGGTTACGGAGATAGGACCTGTTACAATTTTATCTTACCTCTAGTCCATTGTCTCACGGCAGAAAGGACGAGAAATTTAACGCTTTTCTCTATACAAAATACGCCTCGGCTCGGAGAACTCAATTCAATTTACTTGCAGAGTAATAGTATATATATGAAATATATATAGCATTATCTTCATACATACATACATACATATATATATATATATATTTCATATATATATATATATATATATATATATATATATATATATATATATATATATATATATATATATATATATATAGAGAGAGAGAGAGAGAGATAGGGGGAGACTGTTGCTCCTGGGTGTTGATTCAATGTCCATTTTTATGTTTACATAGGCTCTATCTCTGATATTGAACATTTAACCCATAAATTTAGCATAACTTAAAACTATATATATATATATATATATATATATATATATATATATATATATATATAATAGATAGATATGATGAAATATAGTTTTAAGTTATGCTAAATTTATGGGTTAAAATGCTTTCAATATATATATATATATATATATATATATATATATATGAATGTATTAGCAATTTTTACATTGGAAATAACTAAATAATTTTACAATAGAAATATTGTCATATAGAAATTCATTGAAAAAGAAATCGATGCAAACGTATATATTAGTAGCTGAATGTGGATATTGTATATATAATATCAATATATTGCTAATAATTTTACAACACAAAATCATTGTAAATAATTTTACAAAGGAAACGATTATTTTATTCTTGAAATGGATTGAATATATAGAAATAAAGAGCGTTCGTCGCTAGAAATGAATACAAGCGTCTCCAGATTTGGAGTTTTATATGAATAATACGTTGTTCATTATTGTCAAATGCTGTAATTAGTTTTCTTGTTAAATTGCAAGAATATTTTTTGTTTGCTTCAATACTATTAACATAAAAATAATCAAACCCATAAACATAGTACATAACTGAACATACCTGTCAATCGCAATAGCCATGAAAGTAAAAACGCTGGCAGATGTCGTGCAGGGAGCAATGAACATTGAAAACTTACAGAAGTCCTCTCCAAACCACCAATTGCTGTAGAGTAGGTAGGCAGAATTAAATATTGTGTTCCAAATTGATATCAAGGCGTCCGCCAGCGCCAAGTTGAAAAGGAAATAGTTCGTCACAGTGCGCATGCGTTTGTGCCATAGCACTATCCACATGACAATTATGTTCCCGCCAATGGAGACGATGATCATGCCGAGGAAGAGAGTGATGAAGAAGACCAACTGCCACCAAGGAAGTATAAATGGATTTCCAGGTGGCAAAGTGGATGTTTCCTGTGTAATATTAGTAGTTTCGGTCGAACCTTCCATATCCTGGAACCTGTCTTTGTCCAATCCGGATATGAGAAAGCTAGAAAGGGTGGATCCAACCGTGTTAAAGGCTCCGACGTCCTGTGATGCACTCATTTTGCTGCGGGAGAAATGAAGGCCCTCCGATGTAAGCTAATATTCAATGCACCTGCGAAAATATAACAAATATACATATCTTACAAAATGTGTTTTGATTTATGGAACATTTTTTAGAATGTAAATACATGCAATTCTGAAAAAATAATGTTTAGAAATGATTTCAGTGAAACTCAAAATCACATTTAATTTTTTTGAAACTTGACTAATGCATGGAATAATAATGCAACACAAAATGTACTTACAACAAAATGTATTGAAACAAGAAAGTGTACACAATATTTACATATAGTCTTTTGTATATTCCTGGTAAGACCGTTCCTGGAGAATGTGTTGACTGAGTCGCAGTCGAGCAGAGTCTCTGGTTGAATCTCTTGATTCCTCCCTCTCTTCCCGGTACCAACCATATTTATATGGTCGGTACTCCACTATGCAAATTAGGTGGATCCTACCACAACAATTTGTCATATAAGAATTTTACAAAAATTATATTTTATCTCTAAAGTGTTACTAACTCCTATCTATCTATCTATCTATCTATCTATGTTAAGCTATCTCAACCTTTACCTCAGCAAGTTCTTTTTTCTATCTATCTATCTATCTATCTATCTATCTATCTATCTATCTATCTCAGCCTTTACCTCAGCAAATTCTTTTTTCTATCTATCTATCTATCTATCTATCTATTAGGCTGTGTCTATCTCGAGAAATTCTTTCTTTCTATATTTTTCTTTCTTTATGGTTCTTTTTATTTCTTTATATTTTTAAATTTTTCTTTCGATCCTTTTCTTTTTTTGTCTCCCTCTCCTCCTTTCTTTCTTTTCTTTTCTTTCTTTCTTTCTGTACATTTATCTATATATCTCTACTCATGGATATATATATATATACCTGCCCATTTATCGATATCTGTATCACCTACCATTTATCGATAGAAAATGTCGCACACCAATTTCTTTAAACCTCGTTTACTTTCATAGGCATGAACTTACACCATCAAAATCACTTCAATAAAAAATCCTAACCCTTCATTTTATACACTGTTCGAATTGAATATTTTCATAATACATCGATTTTTTTTCACTCAATATTGTTATATACTTTCGTGTGTTAGCCAATGTGCATTAACTATATTGTTTCCAGAAATAGTCACCATTTTAACTGCGCATTCAAAAGTACTTTCTTCTATGGCTTTAATGATATTTCAACGTATGGCTTCTGTTTTTATGTTTGCTGCTAATATTTACTATCCATACTAACAAAACAACAATATTTTCCACCAAATCTTGATAAAAATATAGCAAACTATTCATCAGAGATTCGCTGATAAAAAATATTCAAGAAGTCATTAGTTTACATTTTTTTTACATCTTTTAGACTTTTCAAATCAAAAACAGCGTTTTGCCGTCTACTTCATTTCGACCTCACCGGGATAAAAAGTATATAGTATTTCTAAAGAAGTTAGTGAATAGCAATGAACAGTTCTAGAGAAAATTCAACAATAATATTAGTATAGAAACATGAACCGTACTTTTCCTGCCTCTACCAAAAATAAAAAAAAGCGCCACCTACAAACCACAAAGCGCCATTGTTGTATTTCTTTTGCATACAGGTTTATTCATCATTTATACTTTTATTCTTGAAAAATAAGTTCGCTTGAATATATGTGCTTTTATGTTTTCTCATAATTTAGAGGAAATGTCTGAGATTTCGGTTGAAAATCATTGCTATTCCTCCTGACTCTCACTAAGTCTTATAGGGATAAACGCTGATATTTCTCCAACAAAAATGTAACAATATTAGAACTATCAAATTACTGACATTCTTCTTCTTCTTCTTCTTCTTCTTCTTCTTCTTCTTCTTCTTCTTCTTCTGTGCTGGCTGGTTGCTTAGTTGATTTTGTTTAGCGGCATATCAAACTCAACGGGTTATTTAAATGACGAAATGTAAATAATTTGAACAATTTTATGACTTCAATGAAATATATTTTGAACACTGCGTTCAAATGTATGCCTTCAACTACAGATAAAATGTATTGCTGGTCATGTTGCTTTAAAATGTATAGTTGCTAATTTGGCTATAAATAGGTATTGTTGCTAATTTTTGGGCGCGACACCAACTTTCCTTGCGGTAGATGAAGCTATTGATCCAATATAGTTGTTCCATGAGGTAGAACAACTATATTGAATCAGTGGAATATGTGAGACCAAGAAGGCACAGGAAGACGCTCTCGTGAAGTATAGCATCAGCCAAGCTGATACGAGGCAGGGAGGTTTCTCTATGGTGGGTAAATGAAAGCCGTTTCTTTTTGGAGACATTAAAATTTACAAGCCATTTCCAGCCACAGACTGGAGATTTTTTTTTCGAGATCAAAGACCGCGTTAACTTTGTCAGCAATGACTGATTTACTATTGAGAGAGGAGTAAATAGTAGTGTCGTCTGCGTAGATGCCTACTTGAGAACTGATGACGTCAGGAAGATCGTTGATGAAGACCAGAAACAGTGTAGGACCCAGGATAGATCCTTAGGGAACACCAGCGTTCGTATGAAAGGAACTGCAGGAGAACCCGTTTAGGACGACCTTCATTTGACAGTTTGACAGAAATGATTGGATTAAATCAAATCATCGTCCTGTAATATCGTATCGCTGAAGCTTAGAAGGCCGGCATGCCAAATCCTATTAAACGCCTTAGAGATATCTACAGCCTCTGTGTTTTTGGTCTTCGGTGTTCCATCCATTTTTAAAAATATTTCCCAGATATTTAAACTTCTGCACATGCTTGATGTCGACATCTTTAACTTGTAACTCACATCATGGGCATTTTCTCTTGAATGCTGATGACCATCCTTTCTGTCTTTTCGATGGTTAGCACCTTTTCTCGCTTTCTTCTACCACACTCTATCTTGTTTTCTTTCCGAGCCTGCCATGGACACAGTGTCATCTGCCTATCTTATTTTGCTAATATTACGCCTACCGATAATAAATCCTGACAGGGTCTCCAATTCTCTTAGGAAAGGTTGAATACATCTTGGAAACGACATAGCCTTGTTTTCTGCCCGTTTCTGTTTTTCTCTGTACTTGCTCGATCCATTTTCTGCCCGTACACAGATGATTTGTTCCCTGTATAATTTCTGGATTAACGTGCTTACAACGGCTAAAACAATAACACGGGAACCAAGATTACTACTTCTGCTCTTTCTCTGGTGTACTGTTCTAGATTTCTTCTATCAAGACTGAAAATGTATAAAAGTAAACAAAGAAAAACGAGATCTCTTCAAGAAGAATTGCATGAAGACAAACCAAAGCAGACAAAACATACAGAAAAAATGTTTCTATAAATAAAGAGGTGAAATTGTGGCTGTTAGCAATCGCGAAGTTCGCAGAAACGTGTTTAAAACAGAAAACCTTGTGTTAAAACTAAATACGAATAGATGGCATGAAGCCTATTGACAGACTGACTCAGTAGACTGGGTAACAATGAATTTTTGTTTCTTCTGCATTTACCTAATGCGGGAACTTTCCAATACTAATCCGGACTGGAGATATATTTAATCTTTACTATGAATATTTTTTGAAAAGGCTATTTTGCCTGTCCCGGTCAAATAGACACAAACGCTATTTTTCGTGTCCTGGTCAAATAGAAACGAAGGATAATTTTTTTAAAGTCCCTGTCAAATAGACATCAAGGCTATTTTTCCGGTCCCGGTAAAATAGACACCAAGGCTATTTTGGCGATAAATATAAATTGCGTTTTCGAACTAAGAATCTATCTATCTATCTATCTATCTATCTATCTATCTATCACAGTATTCATTTAGTGTAGCCATAGAACTCAGTGGTGGAGCTATTTTCAGTTCATTTGCTGATTGTGACATTTTTTTATACGTGGCATTTTTATTTACTCTTATTTATATTAGCATTAATTAGACTGATGCAAATGTTTGCAGTGGAGTCTTTTGCACAGTGTTAGAAAAATCTTCGATGCGTCTCTGAGTCTAAGTTTATTTTTTGGAAGGATTTTACAGTCAATCATCATTTGAATTTGGATGAGAATCTGACGGACTGTTAAATATATAAGATAATTTGGAATATATTTATTAAAATATTGATTTTGACATGTTTTGCCGATTAACCACCGTCACCTTGGCAAAGCAACCTCACTTCCTTCGTGTTCCTTTGATAAAAAGTTCCACTCTGATACACTAAATGAATTCTGTTATACATACATACATACATACATACATATATATATATATATAACAGTGAACATAGAAGTCAACACTTAGAGGCGACAGTCTGTTTCATGCTAGATGCAATCGTCAGGCCACCCATATATATATATATATATATATATATATATATATATATATATATGTCTCAATCAGCAAATGAACTCAAAGTATCTCTAACACTGAGTTCTATGGCGACACTAAATGAATACTGTTGTATATATATATATGTGTGTGTGTGTGTGTGTGTGTTCTTTGTTCTAAAGGGCCATATATATTTACCGGCAAAATAGGCTTGGTGTCTATTTGACCGGTACCGGAAAAATGCCTTTGGTGTCTATTCGACCGGGACCGGAAAAATAGCCATGGTGACTACTTTATCTAGAAAAAATAGCCTTGTTGTCTATTTGACCGGGACTGAAAAAAAATCCTTCGTGTCTATTTGACGAGTACCGGAAAAATAGCCTTTGTGTGTATTTGACTGGAACCGGAAAAATAGCCTCGATATCTGTTTGACCGGGACAGGCAAAATAGCCTTTAAAAAAAAAAAAAAAAAAAAAATTCATAGAAACATTAAATACATTCTTCCCTAGAACTGTTACTTCATGGAATAATCATATGAGAGAATGTTTCCCTGGCAAGTATAATGTTGGTCTCTTTAAGTCCAGGGTCAACCTATCCGTCCTCAAAATACTCTCTTATTTCTTACAATCACCCTCCTCTACTTAAAGTTGCCCTTGAGCTTTGTGTTCAATGAACTGTCAGTAAAAGAAACGTACTGTAAAGTTATAGAAATATAGGGATAATAGTTTTAATAATAGTGCTATGAATATATGCTTTAAAGATTTTGAAAAGAAGTTCGTAAAATTTTGCATCGTGTAAGTATTGAGTTATAAATTTGCCAACGCAAGTTTTCGTGGCCTTTTGATTCCGAGGATTCATGCGATCTCTCAGATCAAACAGTAAGACAAAAACATTCTTTGATATCTACAATTCTACTGTGGTACCTCAGGGTTGGTTTGGAAGAAAGCGTGTAAGAGAAACGACCTGCTGTCATGAATAGTATCAAAAGCAACAATGAAGACATATCCAGATTCAAAAACAGACATTGTATGGCACTAAGATGAAAAACGAACGTAAATATGTGATCACTTTGCGAGCAACTACCTTGATAAAACTCAAGATGTCATATACAAGGCGAAGACAAACACACACATATATATGTATAGGTTTAGGAAAATGAAATAACTAAATATATGATATACACGGGTAAGCAAATAAATAATTACCAAATTTTGCCAAAGGTGTAAACATAATAGTCCTCGATGCGATTAGACAGAGCCAGGAAATATATATTAATAAATATACATATATCAAAGTTTGGTGTGCGACTTATGTTTCGTTGTGTACCCAACTCGTCGGACACAGGATATAGCTAATTGTTTTTTTATTAAACAATAAGTACCCACGAGTTGGTTAACCAACGAAACTTAAGTCGCCCACCAAACGTAGCTAAATGTACATTTATGAGGAAGTAGTAGTTTTTATTTATTAATCCGACAGATTTTATCACTTTAAAGGTTATTTTTAGTGGATACCCATACTTTAGTAGACCTTGCGTTTACTTATTAAACAGTGTATTTATTTTCATCGGCAGGCCCGAATATTCGAGAAATCTTAATAAAAAGAAAGATGCACACTCTTGGGAGACGCAGGTTCGAATCCTTTAATAATATTCAAGTCGGTAGGCAAAAAAAAAAAAAAATAGTATCAAGATTTGTGTTATGGGATGTTATGTGAACTTTTTGGTCATAATAAGGTTGTAGGTAGTGTAATAGGAATTTATTTTCATACCAACATCTGGAAATGTGCTCTGTTATTTTGTTTGGGAGTTAATAATCTGGAAATGTTATTTTCCTTTCGAAGATACTACGTTTCAAGATGGTGTTGTAAGCTGGTGCTGTTTATCTATCTATCTATCTATCTATCTATCTATCTATCTATCTATCTATCTATCTATCAAGGAAAGTAATATTTGAAGAAAAGAAAACAGTAAAAACTTTTCATCTCTATCTATTTATCTAGACCAGTTTTTCTCTCTATCTCTCTACATTTGTTCTTATCTACCTACCTAGCTATATTTATATGTTTTTCTCACTCTCTCTGTCTCCTTCTGTTCCTATCTATCTATCTATCTATCTATCTATCTATCTATCTATCTATCTATCTATCTATCTTCTTCTGTTTCTCCCTTTCTCTCCATCTTCGTATCTATCTATCTATCCTCGCCCTATTCATTATCTATCTATCTATCTATCTATCTATCTATCTATCTATCTATCTATCTATCTATCTATCTTCATCTGTTTCTCTCTTTCTCTCCATCTTCGTATCTATCTATCTATCTATCTATCTATCTATCTATCTATCTATCTATCTTCTTCTGTTTCTCTCTTTCTCTCCATCTTCGTATCTATCTATGTATCATCGCCCTATTCATTATCTATCTATCTATCTATCTGTTTCTCTCTTTCTCTCCATCTTCGTATCTATCTATCTATCTATCTATCTATCTATCTATCTATCTATCTATCTATCCTCGCCCTATTCATTATCTATCTATCTATCTATCTATCTATCTATTATCTATCTATCTATCTATCTATCTATCTATCTATCTATCTATCCTCGCCCTATTCATTATCTATCTATCTATCTATCTATCTATCTATCTATCTATCTATCTATCTATCTATTCATCTGCTTTTCTCTCAATATATTTTCATCTGTTACTATTTATCTATCCTCATCTGTTTCTCTCACTGTGTTTCTCTATCTTCATCTGTTTCTACTGTCTATCTTCATCTGTTTCTCTCTCTCTCTCCTTTCCATCATCGAATGTTCATATCTATCTATCTATCTATCTATCTATCTATCTATCTATCTATCTATCTATCTATTAAAGAAAATAGTATCTGAATAAATTAAAAAACAAAGAAAACAATAAAAACTCATGCAAAAAAAAAATAAAAAAACAAAACAAAAAAAACAAAAACAAATTAAAGAAGAACAAATAATTGAAAAGCAACAAAAAAACCCAAAAGATAAAATTCATTGTTTTTAAAATCAATCAACTGTAATGGAAACATTTGTGCTAAATTTGGTCTCTATTAGTTGTTGGTCTACAAGTTCAAGTAAAAAGACTTTGTTTCAAGTTGAATTTAATGACCAACCAACCGTTCCCACTCTCCGATTAGCGCAAATAGCATTGGTACATTCTCCTATCAGAATGGCTATACAAGGAATGTACAGGGGGTCCAAGGTTAGATGAGGACACAAGTACTCTAATCTAACCTTACACCCCAAGAACATTTGCCAAGTTCTATAGACCTGACCCTACCCCTTTCAGTTCAAAGAGGAAATATTGATTGTGGGATGGATATACAGGAAGTTATATTAAAAATCATGTCTGCCACGGGTGTGTCAGGTACACATAAAAAGTGAGTGTTTATTCCTTTACCGCATCGGTCAACGTTCAAACTAATATAAGCTAAAAATAACTATTATTGCGGGCAAAATTGCTTGCGATAAGTGGAAGGAATTACTGTATACATTCCTCGACATAATTCCGCAAATTCGCATTTTAATATCTATCAAAAAATATATAGTTATCTATTAGGTTGGTGCAAAAACAATGTCGTTTGACGTTCAACTTAACGTCAAAAACGACATTATTTTTGCACCAACCTAATACGTCAATATTAATGTTAATCACTATTGAAATGTTAAAGCATGACTGAACTCCTGTAATAACATTTTATAATATTTTATCCACAAACAGCGCATTTAGAATTAAAATGTTAGGCATATATAGTAATAAAAAAAAAAGCAATTCTTTGAATGAATAGAAAATTTTACGAGCGACTGTGAGATACGCAACATAATGTTTAGACGGATCTATCTATCTATCTATCTATCTATCTATCTATCTATCTATCTATCTATCTAGATATAGATATTCATCTCGTTTTCTCTAGACATCTTCATCTGTTACTATCTATCGTCATCTCCTTGCTATCTATCTATCTATCTATCTATCTATCTATCTATCTATCTATCTATGTTAGTGCCTCCGTGAGAGATATTGATACCTTAATATATCCAGTGAGATATGTATGAACAATTATTAATACGTCTATTGCTTATTCTTAAGTGACATTTGGAAATGACATTTTTATGCGCCAATCCTTTCCTTCATTTGCACGAAAATAAAATTGGCGAAAAAAAATTACGCCCCTTGGTAAACTGTTGCAGAGAATTTGCGTAGATCAGTACATGTGCATACGTTTAGGCACACGAACACACATTCATGCATACATACATATACACAGTTTCAGTGAATGCGCAGTCTTTTGATATATATATATATATATGAAGAAATATAGTTTTAAGGTGTGCTATATTTATGGGATAAAGTGGGTGATATCATGATAGAGCGTATGTAAATATAAATATAAAAGTGAGCATTGAAGTCAACACTCTGAGGCGACAGGCTGTTTCATGTTAGACGCAATCGTCAGGCGCATGGCCTGACGATTGCATCTCATGAAACAGCCTGTCTCCTCTGAGTGTTGACTTCAATGTCCACTTAAAAAACTCAGGTGTCTATTTAATCACGAATATCGATTCAAAATAACGTTTGAAGTAATACAAATTACTAATTAAAATAATGGCCTGTGAATATATATATATATATATATATATATATATATATATATATATATGAATCTTGCATTATCACTTTTGGTTTTTATTCCTAAGCAAATGCTTTTGCCGATCACTACAACTTTAACCTATCCAAGTCTAGAGTTAACCGTTATCTTTTCTACATATCGCCTTTAACCGTGTCTTTTAATCTGTAACACTCTACATTGAGTGGCTCTTCGGGCTCTCTAAAGGGTGGACGTCATTGTAAAAAAATTGAAAGAATTAACTCTTCTTCTTCTTCTTGTATTAATGGTTTTATATGTCGTCATGTAGGACTTCATTTCCGATCCAGAATCAAAATCATTCACACGACAACATTATTATAATCAGTTACAATATTGAGGAATGCACTGGTGTATTGAAGAGAATTTCAGTCACGTGATCCCTGAAAAATCCACCATTTAATTCTAAGTATCAAGTCCTTCAGGAAACACGAGATCATTATTCTCTACAACTTCCTGTCTTTTATTACCCTGTGAATATATATATTTAGAATCTCGCAGTATTTGAAATATAAACATTTTCGTATGCACATGAAAGCTATGAGCTACATTGGGATTATAAGCAAAGGAGGGAGCAATTGGCTACGATTAACGGTAAGAAAATGTCTTTCTCATATGTACCTGGAGTAAAATTAATCAAGATATAAACTTGTTCGTATAATTTTAAGCGTTTTTGCATAAGAACTCTTGAGAGGTTTGAAGAGAGAGAGAGAGAGAGAGAGAAAAGTGGAGGGAGTGAGAGAGGAATAGAAAGGGTGAAAGAGAGAAAGGAAGTGAGAGAGAGAGAACAAATTCTACATCAAAGTAAAGGAAATGTAGCCGCGCATTAGATCAGCAATATCCAGTTTGAGCTTTGGTGGAGGGCTGGAATCTTTTACACTCTAGCACACACGTCAGTTAATCTAAGAATGAAAATATCCTGTTCAAATGGTGGGTTAATTTTCCCCTTCCTTAAACAGATTTTGGGACAGTGGCCAACGCTCAAAATGAAACTGAGAATAGACGTTAGATTTAATTTTTTTTTTATTCTTTTATTTTACTAATCTTTTCAGGTTTAATGGTGGTTCTACTTTAGATGTTGGCATTTTTTACATCTCTTATTCAAATAAATGTATATGGGTCTTTTCTGCTAATTCACCCCAAATAATGTAAAGTTACTTATCGCAAATATTAATTAACCTTAAGAAATTATAATTTTAAATCAAAGTTTGGTTTTTATTAAATTGTCACTCTTCTGAAATTACAAATTTTAAATTAAAATTGGTTTTGCTTTCCTCCCAACAACTCCAACCATCAGACTGAAAAATTACCAAAAATCAGAGTTATTCACATTTCGTAAGTGCGAATGATATTCGAGGTACTTAAATAATTTTTTATAATTTAAAACAAAAGAAGAAAAAAAAATCTGGTTTTGGCTTCTTCGTCGAGGTGATGCACAGTCACCAGTTAAAGAACGAGCCCGAAATGCGATTTGCATGTCGTGAACACTAGAATCAAGCAGACTCGGCAGTTTAAATATCTGGACATCGTTCTGACAGAGGACGGTAAATGCGACACTGAGATCCGTAGATGTACTAGAATGGCCAAGGGCGCCTTCCAAAAGCTGGGCAGAGTATTGCGAGACAGGAGGATTTCTTTGGTAACGAAGAAAAGAATACTCAGCTGTTACGTGATATATGTCCTTCTTTACGGCAGCGAATGTTGGGCGATTTCCTCAAAGATTAAGAACAGACTCGAGGCAGGGGAGAAGTTCTACAGAAGGATGCTAAGGATATCATGGACCGAGCGTGTGGGCAACGATGAGGTCTTAGAGAGGATGCAAACAAAGCGGAGGCTTATACTTAACATCAGAAAGAGGCAGTTGAAGTTCCTGGGGTACATAATGAGGAAAGAGGGCCTGGAGAATCTGATACTCACGGGGCGAATAGAGGGAAAGAGAGAGAAGGAAAAACCACGCATGGCATACCTAGCAGCTTTAAGCAAGTGAATGACAGAACGTGGTCTGGAGGAGGTAGCAGAAGGAAGGAACTTGTTGAGAGCTGCAAGGGATAGAGGAAGAAGTGGAGAACCATGATCGCCTACGTCCTGAAAGGACACGGTACATAGAAAGAAGACCGGGATGAGCGCGAAGATCACCCCACAATTAGCGCACCCGAGTCACCCACATTTGGTGCGATCGTAAAGGTGACCCCAACACGAGTGCAATAGAAGGACCTCGCTCTGGAAGAATTTGGTATGAATTTTATTAAATATAAATTCTTTTTATTTTGAGTGAATTAATATTTTGGGTTGAATTAACAGAAAAGATCCATTTTCTAACCTTATTTTTAATTGTTGAATCTTTACACCAGTAGTAAATGATAACTAATTTAAGAAGGCAGAATACATAACCAGGCAGTCCAAGATGGCAGCTTTGTAAGGGAGACGTTATAATCAAAAGGCTACATACATTTAACTATCTAGCTAGTGGAGTAACAGACGACAGAAAATATGACACATAAATCAGAAGATACATAGAATAAAAGAATGGTACCTTTCCGAAACTAAGCAAAGAATTAAGACAGTCAAATATCGGGAAACAGCAAGAAAACTTTGCTGAACTGCGATGTAATATTTAATCTCCGATATGGTACTGAATACCGGACAATTTTTCACAGACGAAGAGACTGTAATCCTTTTTTTCTTGCAATCAATGTACCCCAAACATGTCGATAAAACCCACTTAGACTTAAGGGGCTACACGGAGTGAAAAAGAATGAAAAGACTTTAGAAAGAAGGGACTGGAAACCCAATCCTAAACAAGAAACAAAAGATAAGCCTTTACTCCCGTTAAAAAAACAACAACAACAAAAAAAAAAAAATAAACGGGCAGGGGTGTGAGCCAAACGATAGGTGAATCTATTTACTCCTATTGAAGAAAAATAGATAAATAGTAAATTAAATTTCAGAGTCTAGGTGGAGACGTTAGAAGTACAGAATTGAAGTAGATTTTAGAAGGAAACAAAGACCCAGTTTTAAACCAGAAACTATGGATAAACCTCTACTCCTGTCCAAAAGATCGTGGAGGTGTGTGAACCGGACGATAGGTGAATTTATTTACGGTTGTTGGGAAAAAATAAATAGTAAATAAAATTTCAGAGTTTAGGTGGAGACGTTAGAAATATAGAGTTGAAGTCAGCGAATGCAATGAATATCATCGACAGAACATGTGAGAAATGAGGAAGTTTTAAGGAAAATAGGAATTAAGAAGAAGGTTATAGTTAGAATCAGAAAGTAGCAGTGGATCATTCTGAGACGTATAATAAGGAAAGGGCCTAGAGAATTTATCACAGGACATAAGGCCAGAAAAAAAAAATGGAGGAAACAGCAAGTAACCGATTTCACGAGTTTCTGTAAATGGATGGCGGGATTTGGGACAAAGGAGTATGATAAAAAGTCAAAGTTTACTTATGGGCAAAAAAGATGGGAAATTGTGGATAACCATGATCTCCTCTGTCCTGAAGGACTTGGCATGTATAAGGATAAGTTATTAATGGTGGATTTCAACAGTGATCATTGGACAGAAATTCTCTTCATTACACCAGCACTGATCGTAGTAATGCGGCCATCTTGGATGGTCCGGATTCTTGAACAGAATTGACGTTCATTGACTCCCTTCGCAAAGCTCTCTAGAAAACTTCCAATAGCTTCAATAATTAAGATCACAACCTCTATATATCGCCAAATCTTGAAAGTTTTTCAGCTTTACATATGATTTCAGTAGAAAATAATCTAATATCTGAATATTTGAAACCTGCTGAACGTCCACTGAACACCTAATATCTGACATCTGCTGAACGCTTCGGATCTGACATCTTCTGAACGTCTAGTATCTGACGACTGGTAGACATCTATTATCTGACATCGACTGAACATTTAGTATCTGACGTCTACCGAACGCCTAGTATCTGACAAATATTCCTCTATTTTATAATATGATCTTATCTTTTACCTTTATACTTCCTTTCAGTAGCAAATCTTCTAGAATCTGACACCTGCTGAACACCTAGTATCTGGCACCTGCTGAACACCTAGTATCTGGCATCCACTGAACATCTAATATCTGACATTTGTTGAACGCCTAGGATCTGACTTCGTCTGAATGTCTAGTATCTGACGTCTGCTAAACATCTGGTTCAATTTATCTTTTTGAACGTCTAGTGTCTGATAAATTTTATTCTATTTTATAATAATAGGTCTTGTCTTTTAGCATTGCATTTGCTTTCAGTAGCAAATCACCTGGAATCTGACATCTGCTGAACACCTAGTTATCTGACATCTGCTAAACGCCTCGTTATCTGACATCTGCTAAACGCCTCTGAACGTCTAGTATCTGACGTCTGCTAAACATTATCTGACATCTGTTGAATGTCGAATCTCTGATAATTTTTTTCTTTACTTAATGGTTAGATCTGATCTTTTAGCTTAGACTGGGCGATTCATTTGAATTTCAAAATCACATATAATTATAATGTATTTATTCTCTATAAGACTCTACTGAGCATATATGTTATCGATATGTATTGTTTTTTCCTTATCCTTTATTCTCAGTCAGGTCTATTTTTGTTCATGTAAAAAAGAGAAAATAATGACATAATCAAGATATTGATATTCGATACTGCTTCAAATAAAAAGATTAGGAAGGAAAATCTCACCAATACTGGAAAGCGTGGTAGCAATTTCGCAACTTGAGAAAGCAATTTCCCTGAAAAATTGTTTTAAGAGAAAGGCTATATAGAATTCAACTGACGGCAGTCTGTTAGGTCAATGAATGTCGAATGTTTCCTTATGAGGAAACGACTAATATTAACATTACTATTACCCTTTTAAGCCAATTTAACGCATTTACTTATTATATAACGCAACGATCGCTGTTTCCATCCTGACTTTTATTTGGGGTTTGGTCTATCCCGGGCTTTATATAAACTGGGCAACAATAAATAAGGATCTAGTTTACATCTTTAGATCTCCACTGCACAATTATGTACATCTTGTGTTGTCAGCAATTTCTTGTTCGTCTTTTGAAATATGCGAACAACTACTTTTCACCGCAATTTTAACTTGTTTTGAAATCTCCTGCTTCCTTATTTTTCCCTGTTAGTTACTTTTGGCTATATTAGTTAACCATTTGTTATTAATAATTAATTATAATAATTGTTATTAACTAATAAGTATTTGTTAGTTACAGTTATTATGATGTATTCTTTAAGTCGTAATTTTCAACAATGTTGCATCTTTTTTCTCTCTCTCTCTTTCCTTTTCAGATCAAGTTGATGAACATTTCTTAGGCGCAACGACTTCTGCAACAATCTGTTTGTTTCATGATCCAACTATTTCAGTTTTCGTTTTAAGAAATGTCTTGAAAATCCTATTATAATGCTAATAAGGTATTTATTCTTTTGATAAAGAGTTTTAGCGTTTAATATATTCTTTGTTCATCTGCAGAAAGGTGACATATCTTTTCGTCACATTCTCTGTCGAAATTATTAAAGACTATTGATTCCCCTGAGCGTCGTTATTGGATAATTCAGTTCCTTCTGTTATTTCTCCTTTCACTTCGAACATCGCTTAACAATCCTTATTTTAGAATTGATTGATTTTCTAAGGCTTATCAACCCAACTCTCCGATTAAAAATTCCAAGCCATTATCAGTTCCACCATTTGCACAGCCAAGCTTATAGCACCTGGCATTCCGAAGCGGTCACTCATCTAGATACTGACCAGGCTCGACGTTGCTTAATTTCGGTTTTGAACGTGACGTGGCCGTAAGCCAGATATTTCACAATTCCATTCTGTCTAGCTGAAGATTCTGAAAGTTTGCATTCAATAATAACAATAATAATATATCATCTGCAAACTCTTCAAATTTTGCTGGAGATTTAACCAAAGTACCACCTGTCCACAATAAGTGGGTTGACGTGGCACATTTTCATCAGGATTCGCGTTACGATCAGTTCCAAGGATGTTTTCTGCAAGTGTCCAGTATTAACATGGATTCCAATGTTCACTAGCCATTCCAGAGATTCAGTACGTATGGTATCGGTAACATCAACAAGAAGTACTTCCACTTCACTGACCACAATTTTCACACTTCTCAAAGCGACCTTCCATCATCTTACAGATGAAATGGCTTGACATACCGTACGTTCTATGCAAACAGTTTCTTCCCGTGTACCTCTCGCTTGTGGGAATCTCTTCCGGTTTCTGGTTTTCCAGTCAACTTTGATCTTCAAAAGTTTAAAGGAAATACCATTCCTTATTTTCCGTCTTCTTGATTCTTGTCCTTTTATTGTTCTCACTTCTAATATTTTCTTTTTCTTAGATTCTCTCACAAATAGTAACCTCTTGCGTTTTAGTGCTTTGACTATTGTCTCCGGGGCATGCAAGTACCTATGATGATTTATGTGCTTTCTTCTTTATCTAACGCTACAATGTCTGTCTGGTGTTCTGTGCAATGCCTATGCACGTTTACAATACTTCCCTCGCACAGAAGTTCGCTCATGCCGGGGAGGTTGAAAATGTTATCATCTCAAGCCCCATCAGGGCCCCCAGGTAGTACCTTACCTTCGATAGGGGGATGTGGTCATTACCCGGCGGCTGAGGCGTCTTCAAAAGGGAAGTGTAGAGGAGACTTAAGCAATTTTCCGGCAACTTTGCGGATGTCCCACATTAAAACTTCGACCTCGTGTTGCATTCTTTTGCGAAGTAGACGCACCGATAAATATCTACTTCCTGACTTCCCACAACATTTTGTATTTGTTCTTTTCAACGAGACGTTTAGGAATCTCCTTCTTCTTCTTCTTCTTCTCCTACTTCTTCTTCTTCTTCTTCTTATTATTATTGCTACTACTACTACCTCCAGTTCTTTTTCTTCTTCAATCTAATTAGTGTATCTACTTTTCTCAATGGTAGCCATTATGTCGTTTTTTTTTAAGCTACATTATTATAAATCAATGAATAGTTGGTCACTTCTGGCATTTTCCATTAGAAAACATATAACTGCAATTTTCTTCAAAACTTTAACACTGTTCTTGATATTCAAACCAATTTCAGAATTGCCGCTGTCTTTTAATTCTTTCTCGGAACTACAATTTTCTTGCATGTATCGCCAGGGCCGTTATAATTTCTGAAGCCACGAACGGAAGAATTACTGTTATCTATTGAATGTTCACTCCAGTAGCATCTTGTGGTTTTCACCGGAGTTGATAGCACCGGAAGTCAATTTCCTCAATTCTACACCACTCCTCTTAATGTTTCTTTCGAATTCAACGGCGCCTTTGTCTGAATTGTTTGATTCTTTCTCAGTTAATTTTTAATATCAGTGCAAGGGTCTGTGGAAAGTTCTCTCACCTTTCTATGATAACGGACCTATTAACCGCTCACGTTTTGCACAATATTCCCATGTTAGGTTCAGTTACTTTTAATCCTTTTTAATATCCAAGGGTCTGTAGGAAAGTTTCTAGTTCTAAGGATAACGGACCTATTAACCGCTCACGTTCATATGCACAATTTTCCCAGGTTAGGTTCAGTTACTTTAACTTTTTAATGTCAGTGCAAGGGTCTGTAGGAAAGTTCTAGCCTTTCTAAGGATAACGGACCCATTAACTGTTCACGTTTGGCAATTTTCCCAGCCCTCAAGTTAGGTTCAGTTACTTTAATCCTTTTAATATCAGTGCAAGGGTCTGTAGGAAAGTTCTTCGCCTTCTAAGGATAACGGACCTATTAACCGCTCACGGCGCAATTTTTTTCCAGCCCTCAAGTTAGGTTCAGTTACTTTAATCCTTTTTAATGTCAGTGCAAGGGTCTGTAGGAAAGTTCTCTAGCCTTTCTAAGGATAACGACCATATAACCAGGTTCATGTACTGCAAGGGTCAATTTTCCCAGCCCTCAAGTTAGGTTCAGTTACTTTAATCCTTTTAATGTCAGTGCAAGGGTCTGTAGGAAAGTTCTCTAGCCTTTCTAAGGATAACGGACCTATTAACTGCTCACATTCATACTGCGCAATATTCCCAGCCCTCAAGGTTAGGTTCAGTTACTTTAACTTTTAATATCAGTGCAAGGGTCTGTAGGAAAGTTCTCTAGCCTTTCTAAGGATAACGGACCTATTAACCGCTCACGTTCATACTGCGCAATTTTCCCAGCCCTCAAGTTAGGTTCAGTTACTTTAATCCTTTTAATGTCAGTGCAAGGGTCTGTAGGAAAGTTCTCTAGCCTTTCTAAGGATAACGGACCTATTAACTGCTCACGTTCATACTGCACAATTTTCCCAGCCCTCAAGTTAGGTTCAGTTACTTTTAATCCTATTTTTAATGTCAGTGCAAGGGTCTGTAGGAAAGTTCTCTAGCCTTTCTAAGGATAACGGACCTATTAACTGCTCACGTTCATACTGCACAATTTTCCCAGCCCTCAAGTTAGGTTCAGTTACTTTTAATCCTTTTAATATCAGTGCAAGGGTCTGTAGGGTCTTTCTAAGGATAAGGAAAGCACAATATTCCCAGCCCTCTGCTAGGTTCAGTTATTTTTAATCCTTTTTCAGTGCAAGTCTGTAGGAAAGTTCTCTAGCCTTTCTAAGGATCTATTAACCGCTCTCATTCGTTCCCAGCCCTCAAGTTAGGTTCAGTTACTTTAATCCTTTTAATGTCAGTGCAAGGGTCTGTAGGAAAGTTCTCTAGCCTTTCTAAGGATAACGGACCTATTAACCGCTCACGTTCATACTGCACAATTTTCCCAGCCCTCAAGTTAGGTTCAGTTACTTTAATCCTTTTAATGTCAGTGCAAGGGTCTGTAGGAAAGTTCTCTAGCCTTTCTAAGGATAACGGACCATTAACTGCTTACTCATTCCCAGCCCTCGTTAGTTCAGTTATTTAATCCTTTTAATGTCAGTGCAAGGGTCTGTAGGGTTCTAGTTTCTAAGGATAACGGACCTATTTGCTAACATCATAGTGCAATTTTCCCAGGTCTAGGGTTAGTTACTTTAATCCTTTTAATGTCAGTGCAAGGGTCTGTAGGAAAGTTTTCTAAGGATAACGGACCTATTAACCGCTCACGTTCATAGGGTCTGTAGGAAATTTTCCCAGCCCTCAAGTTTAGGTTCAGTTACTTTCTTTTAATGTCAGTGCAAGGGTCTGTAGGAAAGTTCTCTAGCCTTTCTAAGGATAACGGACCTATTAACTGCTCACGTTCATACTGCACAATATTCCCAGCCCTCAAGTTAGGTTCAGTTACTTTAATCCTTTTAATGTCAGTGCAAGGGTCTGTAGGAAAGTTCTCTAGCCTTTCTAAGGATAACGGACCTATTAACCGCTCACGTTCATACTGCACAATATTCCCAGCCCTGCTAGGTTCAGTTACTTTAATTCAGTGCAAAGGGTCTGTAGGAAAGTTCTCCACGGACCCCTCATACTGCACAATATTTTCCAGCCTCAAGTTAGGTTCAGTTACTTTAATCTTTTTAATGCCTTTCTAAGATAACGGACCTATTAACCGCTCACGTTCATACTGCACAATATTCCCAGGTTATTTTAATCCTTTAATATAGTGCAAGGGTCTCTAGCCTTTCTAAGGATAACGGACCTATTAACCGCTCACGTTCATACTGCACAATATTCCCAGCCCCCCAGCCCTCAAGTTAGGTTCAGTTACTTTAATCATTTTTAATATCATTTGCAAGGGTCTTTTAATGTAGAAAGTTCTCTAGCCTTTCTAAGGATAACGGACCTATTAACCGCTCACGTTCATACTGCACAATTTTCCCAGCCCTCAAGTTAGGTTCAGTTACTTTAATCCTTTTTAATGTCAGTGCAAGGGTCTGTAGGAAAGTTCTCTAGCCTTTCTAAGGATAACGGACCTATTAACCGCTCACGTTCATACTGCACAATATTCCCAGCCCTCAAGTTAGGGTTCAGTTACTTTAATCCTTTTAATGTCAGTGCAAGGGTCTGTAGGAAAGTTCTCTAGCCTTTCTAAGGATAACGGACCTATTAACCGCTCACGTTCACTGCGCAATTTTCCCAGCCCTCAAGTTAGGTTCAGTTACTTTAATCCTTTTAATGTCAGTGCAAGGGTCTGTAGGAAAGTTCTCTAGCCTTTCTAAGGATAACGGACCTATTAACCGCTCACGTTCATACTGCACAATTTTCCCAGCCCCTCAACTTTAATCCTTTTAATTAGGTTAGGAAAGTTACTTTAATTAACTGCTCACGTTCATTTTAATGTCAGTTGCTTTTAATGGGTCAAGGGTCTGTAGGAAAGTTCTCTAGCCTTTCTAAGGATAACGGACCTATTAACTGCTCACGTTCATACTCGCAATTTTCCCAGCCCTCAAGTTAGGTTCAGTTACTTTAATCCTTTTAATATCAGTGCAAGGGTCTGTAGGAAAGTTCTCTAGCCTTTCTAAGGATAACGGACCTATTAACCGCTCACATTCATACTGCACAATTTTCCCAGCCCTCAAGTTAGGTTCAGTTACTTTAATCCTTTTAATGTCAGTGCAAGGGTCTGTAGGAAAGTTCTCTAGCCTTTCTAAGGATAACGGACCCATTAACCGCTCACGTTCATATCGTACACTGCCCGCAAGTTTTCCCTTTTAATGTCAGTGCCTAGGAAAGTTCTCTAGCCTTTTAAGGTTCGGACCTATTAACCGCTCACGTTCTTTAATCCAGTGCAAGGGTTTTAATGTCAGTGCAAGGGTCTGTAGGAAAGTTCTCTAGCCTTTCTAAGGATAACGGACCTATTAACCGCTCACGTTCATACTGCGCAATTTTCCCAGCCCTCAAGTTAGGTTCAGTTACTTTAATCCTTTTAATATCAGTGCAAGGGTCTGTAGGAAAGTTCTCTAGCCTTTCTAAGGATAACGGACCTATTAACCGCTCACGTTCATACTGCACAATTTTCCCAGCCCTCAAGTTGGTTCAGTTACTTTAATACTTTTAATATCAGTGCAAGGGTCTGTAGGAAAGTTCTCTAGCCTTTCTAAGGATAACGGACCTATTAACCGCTCACGTTCATACTGCACAATTTTCCCAGCCCTCAAGTTAGGTTCAGTTACTTTAATCCTTTTAATGTCAGTGCAAGGGTCTGTAGGAAAGGCCTTTCTAAGGATAACGGACCTATTAACCGCTCACGTTCATACTGCGCAATTTTCCCAGCCCTCAAGTTAGGTTCAGTTACTTTAATCCTTTTAATGTCAGTGCAAGGGTCTGTAGGAAAGTTCTCTAGCCTTTCTAAGGATAACGGACCTATTAACTGCTCACGTTCATACTGCACAATATTCCCAGCCCTCAAGTTAGGTTCAGTTACTTTAATCCTTTTAATGTCCAAGGGTCTGTAGGAAAGTTCTCTAGCCTTTCTAAGGATAACGGACCTATTAACTGCTCACGTTCATACTGCACAATATTCCCAGCCCTCGTTAGGTTCAGTTACTTTAATCCTTTTAATATGTCAGTGCAAGGGTCTGTAGGAAAGTTCTCTAGCCTTTCTAAGGATAACGGACCTATTAACCGCTCACGTTCATACTCAATATTCCCAGGTTAGGTTCAGCTTAATTTTCCCAGCCCTCAAGTTAGGTTCAGTTACTTTAATCCTTTTAATGTCAGTGCAAGGGTCTGTAGGAAAGTTCTCTAGCCTTTCTAAGGATAACGGACCTATTAACCGCTCACGTTCATACTGCGCAATTTTCAGTTAGGTTCAGTTATTTTTAATCCTTTTAATGTCAGTGCAAGGGTCTGTAGGAAAGTTCTCTAGCCTAAGGATAACGGACCTATTAACCGCAATTTTCCCAGCCCAAGTTAGGTTCAGTTACTTTAATCCTTTTAATGTCAGTGCAAGGGTCTGTAGGAAAGTTCTCTAGCCTTTCTAAGGATAACCTATTAACCGCTCACGTTCA